AGAAAACAGTCGAAGGATAGCTATACATAAACTCACAGAATAAATACAAATACTCAATAAACTTTTGAAAAGATGGCCAACCTCATCCTTAATGAAATAAATGCAGATTAAACTCAGTAAGGTACTATTTATCACCCATGAGATAATCAGACATTTGAAAATGAATAACATTCAATGTTGGTGAAGATGTGAAAAAATAAGCAGTCATTCAGACATTGTTGGTGGCAGTCGAATTTAGTAAATCCCTTTTGGAGAACAACTGGCAACATCTATAAAAATTTTTAATTTGCTGACTTTCGGACCCCACACATTTGACTCCTAAGATCCTTATACACTCAATATTCACACATACACAGAGAGGGGTGTACAAAGGGAATAGTTGTATAATTAAAAATTGAAAACCACCTAAATGACCACAAATAGAGGACTCATTCCAGGGGCGAAAGCGAGTGCAACAATATATACTGTGATTCCATTTATGAGGGAAAAAATGTCTCCATGTGCCTATATGTACCTGTATGTCTGTCAAAGCACAGGATGGTCTAGAGAGACCATGAGAAACTGATAGCGGTGGCCATCCCTAAGGAATGGACAGGCCCTGGAAGCAGGGCATATAAGAGACTTTAATTTGATGTCTTTTTTAAGTAAAGATTGTTAACAATAAAAAAAAAAAAAAAAAAAGAATGGACCAACCTTTGATGTCAGGTGATCCTCTGTTAAAATCTTGGCTCCACTATTTACCAGTTGGGTGGATTTGGACAAACAGCTCTGAATCTCAGTAAAATGGGAATAATAATTCCTCCTGCACAGGGATTCTAGGAAAATTAAAACGAGTTTATGTAAGGAAAGGCCTGGCACTTACTAGGTGCCCAAAAAACAATAGCAGTTATAATTACTATTACTATTCACATAGCACATGACTTTTTTGTGCTTTTCATGAACAGCAAGGGAAAGAATTAAAATCGCATGTGTGCAATATGAAAACAACAAAATCTTATAAATCCGTCTGTTCTATTGAGAACGTGAGGCTAGTAAGCTTACTTTTCAATTATTTTGTGAGATCCTGGGCCATCTCTCTGGAGAGAGGAAGGAGGAAGAAGAGGAGAAGGAACTAGAGAAGAGGGAAGGAGCGTAACAGACCAAAACAATCTCTGTAGTTTCTTGCTTAAATTAAGCACCGACCAGAAATTCATGCTCTTGGCTCCCGAAGGCATGCACCTGCTTAAACATGGAGTGAAGTGGTTCGGGGAGCTTCAGGCCAACACTACCAAACTATGCACACTTATCAATTTGTAATGTACAGTAATAAAACTCTTTGCAAATCCCTTCACTTACTTGGGCTTTCACGAACCCCCGGAAGCTAGCTGCAGCGAGGGGTATTGTGCCGTGAGGAAGCTGGAGCTCAGAGGGTCAGGTGCCTCACCAAGATCACACAGCACAGCCGGGAGCTGAACTCAGGCGGGCCTGTCTCACGCCGCAGTGAGAGGGCTTTATTCTGAGCCCCCCAGGACTCCTCGTGGTCTCTGCTCCAGGTGCCATGTGGGGAGGGGGTGATGGTAGAAGGTGGAGCAAGGAGGACCCCTGCCCACAAGTGGCTCCCAGTCTGTGAGTAGACAACAGGCCAAGTGGTGGCAAATCAAGGGATTCGATTATGTGATTCATGTGTCAGCATTGCCTCGAGGGCCATTGGAGCATGGCTTGCTGGGGCCCAGCCCAGGGAGTTCCTGATTCAGCTCAGGATACAGGATGCCGGACTAAGGCACAGTCCTACCCGCAGAGAGCTCTCTGCCTAGAAAAGGAAAGAGACCCAGGGACGGACACAGAGGACATGTGATGAATGTCCCAAAAGAAGCATATGCCAGGCACACGAGGGTGTGAAGGAGTAATATCAGGTGGAGAGACTCGGGGGCACACCCCAGAAGAGGTGATACCCTTTTGAAAGGACGGATAGGAGCCCATCAGAGACTGGAAGGGCAGCAGAGGCCACATGCACACGGAGTCCAGAGCAGGAAGCATAGTCGCACCTGATGCTTCCTGAGTGCTCACCTGTGAGCACATACACGTGGCATGCCACCTCGGGGCACGCTCCCGCCCACTCTGAGAGGTAAGATACAGCGAGGAAACTGAGGCTTGGAGAAGTCAAGCAACTCGCCCAGGGTCACGCGGCAGGTAATTGACAAGGCTGGACTTGAACATGGCTCTGCGTGATCCTGAGCATGGGCTCATGGCCCACCCCAAGCGAGAGTGGCAGGCGAAGTGCCTTGAATGCCAGTGTAGACCCTGTGATTTGCCCAGCAGTTTAGAGGGTATGGGACCTTCTAATATACATTCCTGTTCTGACCCTAAATGTGTATAAACAGGTACAGTTAACAGTGTTGTCATAATTAAGATAAATAACTTAGAAGAATGATGCCAGCTTTGCTCATTTGTAACTCTCTGTATCAGAAACATTTACAGACCACTCTCATACCCAGTATTGATGCACATAAGTCTTATGATTAGTTCAATAAAACAACTTGAGTTAATGTCCCTTCTTCTCCCCTTGGCCATTCATTCTTAGAAACAGTGTTTCTTGGACCCTTGATATTAAGATAATTATTGGAACTTGCAAGCATTGCTCTCTGGAGAGAGTTAAGGAATGTTCTAGAAGAGAAAGCCTGTAGGCAGTGGAGCGTCATAGTAGGCTTCTAAGAGGGGAGGGCCATGGTCGGATGAGTGTTTACTAAAGGCCACTGGCTCCCGCGAGGTGAGGCCAGAGCAGGGAGTGTGGGGAGGAGGCCGCAGCATTCACCCATGGAAAAAAAGGGGGTGGGGGAGCCTTGCCTGTGGCCACACAGCAGGTCCCATAGGCAGGATGGGGCCTCCTGACTCCCAGCCATCCTCCCCCAGCCCTTCCGTGAGGGAGGGCCCTTCTTTCAAACAAGCATGTGGAAATAATGGACTGAGTTGCCACACAAACCAGAGTTGGAATTGGTCTAAATAGAAGACAACCAGATGTGCTAAATTGGACTTAAGTCCTGGATGCAGAGAGGAGGACAGAAAAGTTCACATGCAGGTCCTTGCTGAGCAGTGAAGCCCAAGTGCACGGCTCTCAGCCCGCCCAGCTGAACCCCAAGGCAAAGTTCAAAGGTTCGAGAGGGAAGGCCATCTCACAGACCTCAAACCATGTCCTCCATGACCGCGCTCATTGCACCTGAAGAAACAGGCAGCAGAGGGTCCAGGGTTATTTTCTCTTCACGGTGTAGGGGGTATTTGGCTGCGGGCAGGGGTATAGGGAATGAGGTTCACAGCACCCATGAAAGTGAAGGAGTATTTCCAGGGCTCTGAGCTGCTTGGAGGGCCATCTCACCTCCTCCGGGATAGCCAAGGGACGGGAGACCTGCAGCCTGGACCGAGCCTGACTCAGAAGGTAGAGCTGCTCCGTCCAGCTCACAAACAGATGGGAGACCACCCCACAGAACATGGTGGCCCCCAGTTCCATATGGTCCTTTCCTCAGGAAGACCCGGCTGCTTTCCTTTCTTTTCCCAAGGAGCCCAGGGCCAGCCACCCAGAGAACTGGGAAGCCCTCTGAGCTGAGAGCAGCTCTCCTGCGCGACATACTGACTTGTCAAGAACATCATCCAGTTTCCCCATTCACTCATCCAGCAGACATTCCCCTGTTGTTCGCCAGGCACCGTTCTCGGCTCTGGGGACCCAGCAGAGAACAAAGCAGATGGCCTCGTGGAGCTCCCATGCCCTGGGCAGCAGTCCCACAGGCTTCCCCAGGGCTAGGCATGGCCCATCCTTGCCCTGGGGCTCCCCCAGAACTGACGTCCATCCCCTTCTCTGCCCGCAGGGGGGACTGGCTGCTGAGCTTCGTGTACCGTACGTCCTCGGTGCAGCTCCGTGTCGCTGGCCTGCAGCCCGTGATGCTGCAGGACAGGAGGGTGGAGAACGTGGACCTGTCCTCTGTTGTGAGTACTGCCTGTCCCTCCTAGGGCTCTGTGTTTGCCAGTGAGGAAGGCTCATTACTCCAGCCACCAAGCCCCCACCCTAGGGACATTAGCCCCGGCGCATTCTGCCCCAGAGGAGGGAGATCATAGAATTTGCTTGGGAAGAGGTAACTCCTATTTATGACACTATCCTTGTGCCCAGGCCCTTTATGCACATTATCTCTAATCCTCACGCAGCCTCTGGGGCAGGCATTGTTCACTCCTGTTTCACAGACTGGGAAACTTGAGGCTTAGAAAAGTTCCTATCACAACTAGCAATTAATAGCCTGAATTTGAATCTCCAGAGCCCATGCTCTGGCCCCTACATCACTACCCCAGGCCTCCTTACTCAGCTCACCGTACTCCTACTGTCCCCACCCCCAGCTCTGCCACCCCGGATTAATAGTCAGGACGGTCAGGGGATGCAGGTGGAGGGTTCGGGCTAGACCAAGGCAAAAGCACCTGATCGCCCAGCTGTGAAACTGGAATGCAGAGCAGGCAACATGCGTTCCAAGAACCGTCACCTTGGAATCACCTGGGGAGTTTATTTAGGATACAGACCCCAGGGCCCTCTGCCCAGACCTTCTAAATCCGTCTCTAGGAATAGAGGCCGCAAGTCTTCAATTAAACATACTCCCCAGGGATTCTTACACAGCACGACCAGGCTGGACTGCAGGTACAGACAGTTTAAAAGAATTCCTGCCGGGAATGAAAAAGGGCCACCTGGACAGCCACACAAACCTCCTTTGAGTTTCTAGATCCACCTTTTAGGCTTGAAGGAACCCTGTCCACCTGCACACACCTTATCATAGGGAGTTGATGGCTTCATGTGTGGACGCTCTCGATTCCCAGCTCTGCCCTAAGTCTTCTGCAGGCATCAGTATCCCCGTTGTACAGATGGGAACATGAGACTCTGAGTGGCTAAGGCACTTGTCCAGAGTCAT